ATGGAGCTAGCCTAAGTCCCTTTGATCTGCTGTAGTCTCTTTTCCTGGTAATGAAGTATAGCATGCATGTTCATGCTTAAGACAAGAGGATTAGATTCCTTTGTCAATCTGATTCTAATCATGCTATTTATTTTATTAATTTAATGGGTGTGGCTTAACTCATGTATTAATATTGCACACGTGACACAACATGCCTTTTATTGCTGTTCATGCTGGTACTTAACTGTTTCTTTTATGTATCCATTTATGGTATGTGTGTGTTATTAGGTGCTGGAAAGTTCAATGAAGAAGATGTCAAAGAATTGAAGAGTGTTTGCAGACTAGCTTGTGATAAAGTGAGCAGCTGTACTTGAATTATATATAGGTGTGGTTTTCCATAATGTAACTCTGTGGGTAGTTATAATGTCAAATTCATTGTGTATTAGAACAATGGCAGGGAGTAGGAAAATTTTTATGACCTACAATTTTTACCATGTTAAATCCAAAAAACCCTTTAAAATTAATTTACTTGCATCTATTTTTTATTGAGCCTACGGGTAATTAGGATTGTTTATTTAAGATTGTGATTGTAATTTATTGCTTAATATGAATAAAATAAACACATTACTTCTTCAGGTATCATTAAGTGTACTGTCATAGATAATATTATACATGCTAGTGAGTATGGATATTACTTTAAGTTAAAGTCATGAAAAGAATTACCGTATAGCGCTCAATGTTGCGGAGCTAAAATTTTGAGGATTGATAAAAAATCAATTTTTCACGGAATTAACTTTTGCAGATTCGCAATGTTAGTGCCACGCCTTTAATGGCAATTGAATATTTAGCAGATCTTTAATTTTGTGGTTGCATGCTAACCTGCAAAAACAGCAAAGGTTTTGCTCCTCAAAAATAAAGTGCTATACAGTAGCATGTTTGTCATAGTTATACTTTAATTATGCATTTTTAACAAAAAAGTTAGATAAAGTACAATATTATGTGAACAATCCTAGTATATGAACCATTACCATTGTATTCTGGATTTCTGATACAGAAGTACTCATTATTAATTAACACATGTAATTATCTTGTTTACTGATTTGAGACTGTTTTACAATAACGTTTTCATATCTGCTTGAATACACACATGTCAATAATACAAACATCCCACCTCTTCCTTACATTAAATAAAATAACATCATTAGCTGTAAACACCATCTGCTGTTTTCTTTAGCTTCAGTCCATTAAATAAGGTATTGTGTATTAATTGATTTATCTCAATTATACAACACTGTTAACATGATCTCTTTTTCATTTTTGTCTTGTACTTGTGTTTTAGGCTATGGTGAAGTTAAAAGATGGCTGTGATGTCAGTGAAGCTATTACTGTAGCTCTTAGTGTATTGGAGGTATGTACATGCAATAGTGGGTAATTTTGAAGGGAAAATTTTGACAATTAGCAAGTTAAACCAATAATACAATTAATAGGATTCCCCATTAACTAATTGTGGTACTGGCTCATGCCTAACTTATAATGGAACTGTTGAATGTGATGCCAGTATTATGAATGGGAAAGGAGACTTTGCTTCTGTTGGAGCTGTTTCTGGTGAGTATATCCTTCAATCTTCCCCTAACCTCTTTTCCTTTTCTCCTTTAGGTGTAAAGAATCCAATAGTGTTAGCTCATCAGTTGTTGTTAAACCAGTCAAAAGGATTAATGTCATTAGGTCGTATACCACCAATGTAAGATACATACACTGTTGTCAATCATGTACATGATTGACAATTGGTTGAACATTTTTAGGTGTCTGTGTGGTGATGGTGCACGTCAATGGGCTATTGAGAATGGAGTACCTGT